AAGTAGCACAGGTTTAAGAAGAAACACGTTATTCACATCCTGGAGATGGAGAGATGGCTCAGCAGTTAAGAGCACTTGCAGAGGACTCAGATTGATTCCCAGCACCCACATGATAGCTCACAACCATCTGTAACTCCAATTCCAAGGGATCTGATGCCCTTTTCTAGCCTCCACGGGCACCAGGCACATATGTGGTGCACGGACAGACAAACCAGCAAAAAGAACTCATACAAATAAAATTTAAAATAACAAGAAAAACCTGAAGATACCTTCCCCATATTATGAAAGGAAAATGGTAAGATCATAGAAGGGGAAATCTGGCAGACACCAAGGATTCAGTTACTGTCACGGACATTGTACCGTCTAATCTGATGCCCTGAGAAGGCATGCTCACTTGTGCCATTCTCCAAAGTGCTTGTCATCATTCTCCCCAGGAGCAGACAGGCAAGCTCATCCTGAGACATGCCACCCGTACCCTGCAAGGGTGCCGAGGTATTGAGAGATAAGGAAAGGCTAGCAACTGTGATAGATCGGAGGAGCCCACAGAGAGGTGACAAGGACGTGCCATGTGGATCCCAGATGACAGCCTGGAACAGAAGGAGGACGTCGGAGAGACGAGTCTGGTTCAGTTGCACTGGTGTTGAGCTCATCTTCCACAACCGAGACTGGGTTCAGACAGTGTTAGCAGCAGAACTTAGAGGAGCAATAAGAGATCTTTGTTTTTCTTACAACCTAAACAGTTAAAATTTTTCAGAATAGAGTCAAGGGCATACAGTAGCCCCACAGTACTCCCTTGAGTATCTCCAGTCCCACTTCTCCCTACCTCCCAAGGACACACTCTAACTCTGTAGTGCAGGCTGGCCCAACTCACCCTGTGACCCAGGCTAGCTTTGAACTCAGTAGCCTCTTTCCTCTGCCTTTTGACTACTGTGATTGCAAGACAGTATACCATGCCGATGGGTATGTATATCTAGATAGACAGGTAGATTGCCAGGCGGTGGTGGTGCACGCCTTTAATCCCAGCACTCAGGAGGCAGAGGCCAGCCTGGTCTACAGAGCAAGTTCCAGGACAGGCTCCATAGCTACATTTCAAGCCTGTCTTGGGAAAAAAAAAAAAAAGACAGATAGATAAATACACACTCAATAATGAATGGATGAATGAAATTTTGAAATGTGATGAATAAATGAAGTGAATGTTATTAGGGAAAATGAATGCAGAAACTGAAGGATTAAAAAAGTGATGATTTTGTGTATGTATGTGTGCGCCTGTGTGCATATATGTGCACCGTGTGTGCAGGAGCTCTCTGAGCAGAAGGAATCACATCCATTGGAACTGGAGTCGCAGGTGATTGTGAGCTGACCAGTGAACTCTGTCAACTGAACCCGGGTTCTCTGCAAGAGCAGTAAATGCTTTTAACCTGAGTCATTAGAACAAAATTGAAGAATTTTATAAAGCTGTGAGAACCATGAGAAGAAACTATCCAGAACCTTCTCCCACGTACCCCAAACTGACATTCTGGGACCCCCACTTATCCATGATTAACTGCCCAGGCAGAGATACTCAACTCAGAGACCTTGCTCCAAGCATCACAGCCCCTCCTGGAGTCACCTTTGAGAATTCCCGGCGGGCATCTCACATGATCAGGATGCAGCATCGTGGCCAGGAAATCGGCAGTGTGCCCCACACACACACACCGAGTCTGTCTGACGATTCCAGGGACCGAGTTTTGCCAGCATCATAGCCAGCAACAGGATTTTACTGGGAAAACCCGAGAAACCACATCTTCCAGGCCACGCCCCTTTCCCAGATCCACTCGGTGAACTCTACAATCAGGGGCTGGGAAGCACAGCCTTTTGTTTCCCCTGGTCATCCGTCTGTCTGTTGACTAGTTCTAACTCACTGTCCACCATTGTATGGCACATGGTGTCAGGATGCTGTAAAGGAAGGAACTCTGCCGAGAGGTAGGATTCCTGAGTGCTGTGCCCATATGTGGACCAAAGTCCAAATGCCACACGGTGCTCTCATCCCAGCCAGAACATCATGGAGGGGCTGCTGCTTGGAGTCTCGGCATCTTTGGGAGATTCCGGACCCTAATTTATAGGAAGGTGAGGGTTGGGTATGCATGGAAAGGGAAAGACTTCTCATGGGGTTCTTTTGGCACCATATTAGAGGTTCATTACATAGTCGAGGGCAAGATCTCAGTGAACTGCCAGAGACCAACGGGTAGACCGAGCATCTGGAAACATTCCATACGCCTTTGAGCTGACAGATTTTCATGGTATGGTTTCTTGTTCGTTCTTTTGTTCAGAAAAATAAAATTGAGCCAGAAATGGTGACACAAGCCTTTTTAACCCCAGCACTCAGCACTCGGGTGGCAGAGACAGGAGGATTTTTGTGAGCTCAAGGCTGGCCTGGTCTACTTAGCTAGTTCTGAGACAGCTGGGGCTACACAGAGACACCAGTTGAGAGAGAGAGAGAGAGACAGAGAGAGGGAGAGAGAGAGAGAGAGAGAGAGAGAGAATCAAATGTGTCTCCTGTTCTCCTGTGGCACACCCTTCCAATGGGGCTCTCTGAAGCCTGTCCCACGGATACACAGGGAAGTTGAGAAATTAGAAATCAGATGGCTGCTACTCATCCTTCGGCTCCTGCATGAAAAGGATCCCCGTGTGTGCTCACTTCACATGGACATGCTAAGCTCACAGGGGATGACCCTGGAGCTGCCACGGCAAACGAGCCACACTTCTGAGAGCGACCCCATGACTATTCAAGGAGTCTCACAGGGAAAGCAAAGCCCCAGCGAATGCTCTGCGGTGCCCCCCCCCCCAGCTTTCCAGACTCTAGTAACACAGAGGAACTGCAGCTCCATTGTCTTACAAAGAACCGGGTGCTTCCCCTGAGCCACTTCCAGCAGCAATGTCTGTTTTGGTGCAGCATCCCATGACCTCCGAGCCACTTCAGAGGAAAAGCACATCCATTTTGCTAAAAACTTCCCAGATCAGCCTGGTGGTGATGGCACACGCCTTTGATCCCAGCACTCGGGAGGCAGAGGCAGTCAGCCTGGTCTACAGAGTGATTTCCAGGACAGCCAGAGCTATTACACAGAGAAAGCCTGTCTCAAAAAGCCAAAAACCAAAGGAAACCAAAACGAAACAAACGAAAGCCTTCCCAGATCCTCTATTTGCCTGGGACAACCACAGCAGTTTCTGGTGCTGGAAACCCTGCCTCTCGATTTCACAAGCCCATAGCACAGAAGTCTGGAAGTGAGGACCAGTTCAGTCTAAGAGTATTTCAAGATACCCGGTGTAGGTCACGCACATCATTAAGGGAGGGTGGCCACAGAGTTCGGAATCAGTCCCCAGATAAAGCTCCCAGGATGCCCTTGTGTGCCTCACTTTGTCCTGAAAAAGGTGGGGAGGAGGATGTGCCCGAGGGACCCTATCTGACCACACCCTGTTACAGAAAACAGCCTAGACCAACTTTATCCTGTACATCGGGGCCTGAGCACAGTCATGTAGGAGGGGTGCCTGTGCAGCTCCTGAATCCACTGAAATGGCCGCCAACATTGTGGGTGTGCAAGTAGCTAGGTAGGAAGGAGGACGCATGAGGATAGATATTCATAGCAGGAAAAAGCTCTTGGCCAGGGCTCAGAACCCACTCTCAATGCGGTCTGCCTTGTGGCCTACGAGGGAGAGACCAGCACCCTGTCACATTCTGTCTCTTGACTTTTGGGCACATGCTGTGTGCCCACTACCTTTAGATGCTGTGGGACACTATCCACTCCTTCCTCTCCCTTTCCACCTGCTCCTGCCCAGATGTGTCTATCCCTTGACTCTGCCCAGCACATCTGTATTCCATCTATCACTGGACCAGGACTCTAGGGAGAGGACAGGAAGTGCTCCTCACATCCGCTCACCCTGGTGCTTTTTAAAACCCGGTTTGTGGTCACTGAGCCCATAGCCACAGAGAAGATTTTTTTAAAAAGACTAAAACATATAATTAAAATCTCTGTTGAGTTTTGGGGACGGTGCTGGGTGGCTCCCCACCCCTTCTTTCCGGAAACACAGATTTTGGCATTTGAAAGTGACAAGCAGCTGAAGTCAGGCTACCCTAAATATACCTTCCTGAGCACATCTGGGCAGCTGGGCACATGCTTTATCCTAAAAACTTGGCATTTGCTATAGGGAGCAAGGATAGCTCCCAGCCTGCGCTCCTCCTCAGCTGTCTCCCTAGACTGCCATTACCTTCACCTCCAGCAGGTCCCATAGGGGCTTCTTAGAGCACATGGCTCCCACTGGCACAGCCTTACTCCCAGACCTGGATTCCAGCCAAACCCACTGTTCCACCCAATGGCCATGGTCTACAGATGCTCCCCTCTGTCTAGAGCATGCTTGTCCATCATTTCAGATGTCACTATTTCCTCCTGCTGTCTACCTGTCTCCCTGCCTTTATCCTCTAGCAGGTCCTTTGTCCCCTGGTTGCTGGCACTGGGTGTCCCTCCCTTTCCTAAGGTCCTTCTGCTGCTGGCCTTGTAAGGTGACCTGCACTCTGTGCTTCCCTCTCCTAGGACACCCAGGAAATTCGAACACAGAACTAACAGTTCTGCTCAGCTGTCAGATCTGAGCTCCCCCATCCCACCTTCTCCTCAAGGGCAGGCCCTGAGAGTCCTCTGTCCCACTGAAATTCAGCCAGTTACGTCCCTGTAGACAGGGTTTTCCCCTGAACTGTGCTAGTTTTCTGCCTTGGGAGCAATGTCCATCTTGCTGTTGGCCTAGCAGCTCTAAGAGGAGGCATCGTGATTCATCAGTGGGACCAGGACCCTGCTGAGCACTTGCTGAGTTTCCCACTACACCACCTCCTGGGGCCTGGTGTGCTCCCAGAGCAGACCACAAGCTGTGTGTATAGCAGGAGTAGCCCCCAACCAGGCACCACAGGGAGCCCTACTCTGAGCACAAGCCATCCTGGTTCCCAATAATGACCTCATTCCCACTTTGTCTTCCAGTGGAGCGCGACCGTACCCTGGACTACCAGGAGCCACACTGGAAGGAATTCCGCTTTGACCTAACCCAGATCCCTGCTGGGGAGGTTGTCACAGCTGCTGAGTTCCGGATATATAAAGAGCCCAGCACCCACCCGCTCAACACAACCCTCCATGTCACTATGTTCGAGGTGGTCCAGGAGCGCTCCAACAGGTATCTTTCCTCTGCCCAGGTACCCACCCCACTCATGGTTTCATGGTCTAGGCTCTGGCAGGGCCTGACCAGAGGGTGCATTTCCCAGAAAGGAAAGGGGGCCTCCTGGGAGAGGCACCTCAGACACGAGAAGGGGGCTTGGCCTGGAACTCTGCACTGCCACTGAGACTGTGGAGTCCTAAGAGGCCACAGCTGAGCCGGTGTACCATCAGCGCATAGACACATTTTACTGTTAAAATGTCCAGGGTTGGTTATCAGTGAATTGTGGTACCAGAGGAGGCCAGACCAGAGCCGAGCAGGGAAGAGGCTCTGAAAGTGGTCCCCAGGAAGGCACAAGATGCAGGCAGGCATGCGACCTCAGCCCTTGGTTAATTGTTCTTTCATGTCCACAGGGAGTCTGACTTGTTCTTTTTGGATCTTCAGACGCTCCGATCTGGGGACGAGGGCTGGCTGGTGCTGGACATCACGGCAGCCAGTGACCGCTGGTTGCTGAACCATAACAAGGACCTGGGACTCCGTCTCTATGTGGAAACCGAGGATGGTGAGGCTCCCGGGCTTAGCAGGGAGCTGCCTTGGGGGTCCTGGGAGGGTGTTCCAGCCCAGGCTGCCAGCCTAATACATGGAGCCCTCTCACTGGGCCACAGCTTGGCCTTTCTTGAGGACTCAGTGTGTAGTGGTGAGGTCCTGGACACGAGGAGGCCCCAGCCAGGGCTGCTTTCCTGATGTTCCTAATAGCAACTGACCTCCTGAGAGTCAGCTCCAGCATCCAATGGTGGGAGGTGTACTTCTTCCTGGGCAGCAGACCTCCACTCTGAGAGGTTCTGTTCTAGGAAGGAGAAGTGGGGGACCCGCACCCCAGGTTCTTAGTGCAGAGCCTGGGTTATCCTTGCTCTGCAGTGTTGTAGCTCAGTACCCGAGCCTCAGTTTCCCCGTCTACACAGGTTTACAGCCACTGCTTCACTCTCAGGGTTTCCATGCTCTTGATGTGGGGCAGTGAGGGCCGAAAGGCAGGAGACTGGCTTGTCTGGGGTCCAGCAAAAGGCTGGAGGGATAGCTTGGAAGGAGAGGGGCAGAGCGGTGGCAGGGATCACTCTGAGTTAAGGAAAGCTGGCAAGGTACTTGGAAAGTTTCGATCAGTTTAACAACAGTGGGTGACATATGCGACTGTGGCTTTAAAAGACCCAGCTAACTTCAGCCCCCAAGGAATCCTAACCCCGCCCCCAGATGAGCTTTCCAGGGTACTACGAGAGGGGGGGTGGTGGCGGACTGGACCCAGCACCGGCAGTCAGTTGTTAGCAGCATTACCAAGGAGTGTCTATCCAAGATGTTGTGAGACAGGTCAGGCGACAGGGATGGCCAAGGGTGTCCTCAGGCAGAGTGTGACCCATGGCGATCCCAGTGAGTGTCCTCCCTTCTCTGTGACGCAGCAAGGAGGTGGCATCGGGCAGCTCACAGGGTGCACCAGGCCTTTGCCACTCCGTTCCGGTCCTGGGAGCCTCGTGCCACTGAACGATGGCGGCGCTGAGGCTTCTGGCGTGGGCGCTCCCGCGCGGGGTCTCCATCTGCCGCCCACCGCCCGCGCTGCCCCACCACCTTGTCCTCCGCTTTGCTAGCGACCGCTGCGGACGGGTCCACTTCTACACGGACCCTGTGCAGGCGGTGGAGGGCGTCAAGGATGGGGCGACCGTCATGCTCGGAGGCTTCGGGCTCTGTGGCATCCCCGAGAACCTGATCGGCGCTCTGAAGACCAAGGGCGTGAAGGACCTGACTATCGTCAGCAGCAACGTGGGCGTGGAGGACTTCGGCCTGGGCATCTTGCTGGCCTCTAAGCAGGTCAGGCGCGTGGTGTGTTCGTACCTGGGGGAGAACACGCTGTGCGAGAAGATGTACCTGTCGGGCGAGCTGGACCTGGAGATGACGCCGCAGGGCACCCTGGCCGAGCGCATCCGCGCAGGAGGCGCGGGCGTGCCCGCTTTCTACACGCCTACGGGCTACGGCACGCTGGTGCAGGAAGGGGGCGCCCCGATCCGGTACTCGCCAGATGGCCACCTGGTCACCCTGAGCCAGCCGCGGGAGGTGCGCGAGTTCAAGGGCCGCCACTACCTGCTGGAGCACGCTATCCGCGCAGACTTTGCCATGGTCAAGGGCTGGAAAGCCGACCGTTCGGGCAACGTGATCTTCCGGGGCAGCGCGCGTAACTTCAACGTGCCCATGTGCAAGGCCGCGGACATCTCTGTGGTGGAGGTGGAGGAGATCGTGGACGTGGGCTCTTTCCGCCCAGAGGACATCCACATCCCCAACATCTACGTGGACCGTGTGATCAAGGGGCCGAAGTATGAGAAGCGCATCGAGCGCCTGACCACGCGCGACAGCCAGCCCGCAGCCGCGAGCAAGCAACAGGACTCCATCAGGACGCGCATTATCAAGCGCGCAGCTCTCGAGTTCGAGGACGGCATGTATGCCAATCTGGGCATCGGGATCCCTGTCCTGGCCAGCAACTTCATCAGCCCCAAGATGAAAGTCTACCTGCACAGTGAAAACGGGGTCCTGGGCTTGGGCCCGTTCCCCTTGAAAAATGAGGTGGATCCCGACATCATCAACGCGGGCAAGCAGACGGTGACCGTGATCCCCGGGGGGTGTTTCTTCGCCAGCGATGACTCTTTTGCCATGATCCGCGGAGGACACATCCAACTGACCATGCTCGGTGCCATGCAGGTTTCCAAATACGGTGACCTGGCCAACTGGATGGTGCCAGGAAAGAAAGTGAAGGGCATGGGCGGAGCCATGGACTTGGTATCGGGTGAAACCAAAGTGGTGGTCACCATGGAGCACTGCACCAAGACAAAGCAACCCAAGATCTTGGAGAAATGCACCATGCCACTGACTGGCAAACGCTGCGTGGACCTCATCATCACCGAGAAGGCCGTGTTTAAGGTGGACCCAAAGAAGGGGCTGACGCTGGTGGAGCTGTGGGAGGGCACGTCGATGGATGACCTCAAGGCCACCACAGCCTGCGCCTTTAGTGTGTGCCCCAACCTCAAGCCCATGCAGCAGATCAAACCTGATGCTTGAGGAGCCCTGACCCCTCCCTCCAGGGCTGGTTTGCGGAGGAGTTAGCGACCACGGGGACATCTGACCTGTGTGCCACGGGCTCCTCGGACTTCCTGCTGCCAGATGGTATCTTCTCAAGAGCCGAGTGATTTTAATTAAAAATCCTAAGCCGAGCCTGTGTGTCCGGTGCCTAACTAAAGCCCTCTGCTGACACCATGGAGGAGACTGGTTGGCATCTCCCAGTTTCTGTGACCTTCACATACAAGGCTCCAGAGCATCCCCTGACAGGTCTCAAGACCAGTGCTGCTTCTCATAACTGAATCATGAACCGTAGAGAAAAGCAAAGGGCGGGAAGGAATCCAGAGTTCACCTGGTGCCACGAAATGCAGAGCTAGGGTCTGTGAGCAGGGGGAGCTCTGGTTTCTCTTCCTGGGCCCTTGTTTCTGCTCCTAATTTTGTTGCCCCGAGTCCGCTGACACCTGACTTCTTCCTGGGAGCAGCTTATGTGTCCCTAGAAGGGAGGCAGGCCTATAGGGTGTGGCCTGTGGGAGGAGACTGAGGGAAGCTGATTGGTGCTGTTTCTCTGCCTGGAATATCCACTGGACGTAAACAGTGTCCCAGCATGTCTCTGAAGAGGCCCAAGCTTAGCACATGGATGAATTCTTACCTAGTGAGCTGCAGTGTCTCCTGTTGCCCCTACCACACTGACATTCTGTCCGGGAAGTCCACTGGCCTCCCTTCCTAACTCCAATATGGCATCTTGGGGTCTGTCATTCTGAATCTGTAATCTCAC